AGCCCCAGAGGTGGCTCTCCAGTTTGGCTCGCAGGGAGGGAGGGACGGTTTCCCAAGTTGAGGTGTGATCTGTGATCGTCTCTGGGGCTTGGAAGCTGCTAATTTAGACATATCTCCAGAACTGTGATTAATAAGCCCAAACACTTTGTGCAGATCGTGGAGCTAATTATAAACCACCCGTTCCTCGGCTTTAAAATTGGGAGAGGCCCCAGATGGTAGGGCGCATAAAGAAGCACCAGAGACAATGAGATTGACAGGTGTGACCATGTGTTTCTGTTCCCGCGGTTGGCAACCACTCGTCTGAATTACAGTTGGTTGTTCCTTAAGTCCTGGCCCATTCCAGGTCAAAGGGTAGCTGCTTTTTTCCTAGCTGTGGCAGTGTGAGGCTTCATTGGCCTTGATTGCATAAATATTTACTGAGCACTAGTGGAGCACTCCTGGTTCTGGGGTAGTCCGGTGAGCAGGGAACATGATCCTTGCTCCCAGGGGACATCCATTCAATTGCAAACATATGAACTTAAGAAAACAAGTCAGGGTGGGGACCTTAGAAGTCAAGGCTACAAAGCGACTGGTTGTTGTGGGGGACAGCTTGCTACTTGAGAAAGAGCAATCAGGGCAGGTATCTCTGAAGAGGTGACATTAATGATGAAGAGAAGTCAGCAATGCAGAGGGGAGGGCTTTCCAAGGAGGGCTGGAATGAGCTGGCTGGTGGTGAAATGTATTGCTGAAGCCATGTAAACTGGAAAGAGCATTTGGTGGGTGATCTTGGAGGCCCCTCAGGGTCTTTAGATCTGCGTCAGGACTCTGGACTTTGCCAAGAATGAAATTAACCACAGAGACACCTGTTTAGCGGCAAATGCATGATTGTTGCCCATCGGTGGGCCACATTGGCCATTCTGTTCATGTTCTGCGAGCAAGAGGACCCTGGAGACAAATCCGAGTTAATCAATCAGAAGGTTTATTCCTAAGTAAATGAATGTATTTATAATGTCTGCAGTGAGCCGGTTGTGTTTACAATCCCAGCCCCATGTCCCCGAGGGAGTAGCCTGTGTTTGGGATAAGTGAGATTAACAGTAGGCTGTGGGTTGAGCACCAGGACCCCTCCTGCTCTTGACAGAGCATTTTCCTGTGTAGGGGAGGGTGGAGATGGTTAGGGTTATCCTGAGATCACAACACGAATCAGCAAGATCACCTCCCAGTGGGACTGAAGCTGCCCTTCTCTATGTTAACCTCCTCATCGAAATAAGAATCTGTTCACATAACGTGATGTCCTCAGAAATGACAGGCTTTGGGGCGTCTAAAAGACAGGGTCAGGAAAACAGCTCGTGTGGGAATTTACGGTGTTTGCTCACTTGTTGATGCCAACACTGATTCCACTCCAGAGCTGGAGGAGAAAGCCCGGCAGAGATCACTGAGCCCACCTGTACAGCTTTTGCTTTTCCCTGGGATTTTGAAGAATTTTTTTCCTTCCCTACTGGATGGAGTTCGTCTGCCCCGACAACTCATTCATCATCCTTTCTTGCCGATCCGTCCTCTCCGCCCTCAGGTTGGGGAGGTTCTGGAAGTGATTAGGCTGTTGTAAATCAGCTTTTATGATGTGTGTGTCAGAGATAGGCAGCAGAGAAAGGGGGAGTTAAAGAACTCATCCCCTCCTGCCCTGACAGTTACCCCAGTAATGGAATCAAAAAATCTATATGAAAGTACCGCGGTTGGCAGAATGGTTTCTCTGCAGGCATATCCAGCATTTAAATGTGGCTCTTTAATGAGACCACTGCTTTATTTTTATGCCTTGTTATTGAGGTATAACTTATATATAAGATAAAGCAAACAAAATATTAAATTGCACCTCAAGAAATTTTTCCGTGTGTATCTTTTTATAACCATCACCCAGATCTGGATATAGAACATCTCCAGCACCCTCGAAGTTTCCCTTTATGTCCCTTCCCACTGCCTTGATCTCTGCCACCAAACACAACCTCAGCTCTTGAACTCCATACAGATGGGATCACACAACGTGTACTCTTTTGTGTCTGCCGGCATTTTCTGTGACATTCATCCCTGTTACTGGGTATCATTGTTCATTCTCGTTGTGTGGAATTCTGCCGTATGATGGTTTCTCAGCTGTGGTATGACTGGTCCTCCCAGGCTGGATAATTTTCTGTTGTGGGGACTGCCCAGTTTGTCCACCGTGAGGTGCTCAACAACGTCTCTCTGGCCTCTGCCCATTAGATGCCAACAGCGTACACCACCCGCCCCCCTCCCAACTCCCAGGAACTTCCCTGAGCATGGAAAACCAAACCATTGTATATGCATGCACTGCTCATTTTAAGAAACTTTTTATTTGGCAATAATTTCAGACTAACTGAAATGTTGCAAAAATGGAACAAAACCAATACCCAGAATGTATGCTTTACCTGGATTCACCTCTGGTTAACTGTTGATCCCATTAGTTTATTGCTGGTTCTCTCTTGCTCTCTCTCTCTCTCTCTCTCTCTCACACACACACACACACACACACACACACTGCATTTCTGAACTGTGTGTACACAATGTACACACGCAGTGTATTTCCAAACCATTGGAGAGGAAGTCCTATCCAGCTCAGCCATGTACTACCACAACCTTCCCTTTGTATTTCCCAAGAGGAAGGGTCTTCTCCAACATTATCATAATTACCACCGTTATCAAAATTACCACAGTAGATTTAGCATAATATGGCTATTAATTGCCCATGTCCCAATTTTTGTCAGTCGTTCCACAGCTATGCTCTCTAACATTCTCAGCAGAGAACTGGTTCCAGAGGGATCAGGTGTTCTACACAGTTGCCATGATTCCTTTGTGTTCTTCGGCGTAGAACATTCCCTCAGACTTTTATGGTACTGAAAAAAAAAAAAACCGTTTTAAGGATATAGTCCCTTTTTTTTTTTTCTTAATAGAATTTTCCTCATTTGGGAGCTTATCTAATGTTTCCTTCTGAATCCGCTCAGGAAATGTTCCTGACTAGAACAGTGTGTGGGTGACAGTGTGTCCTTCTTAGGACTTACGTTGGGAGGCACACAATGTCCAGTTCTGCCTCATCGATGATGTTAAGTTTGATCTCCCGGTCAAAGTGCTGTCTGATTTCTCTGTTGTGTAGTTATTAAATATTTCCTTACAAACTAATATGGAGAAACACTTAACACCGTGCAAATATCCTGCTCCCCCATCAAATTTTACCCCCTGACTTGAGCATAATTTGACTCTTGTGTGAATCAGTCTTTATGTACAGTGGTTACAAAATGGTGGTCTTCCAAATCCAGCACCCCCTCTCTGCTCAACATTGTCCTGTGTATAAGAGCCCAGTCTTCTCCCCCATTTATTTATTGGGGCGTTTATGGACTTATTTCCTCCTTTTTCAATGGTTTATAAATCATTACTGTTTTAATGTTTTGATGCTCACGTTGCTCAGCTTTGGCGAGAGAGAGCCCCTCATTTTTTCATTTGTAACACTTCCTTCCTTTCTGGCGTAGCGAGATGTTCCATGCTCCTATCTTACCTTCCCTCCTCCTGTCCTGGAATCGGCCGTCTCTCCAGACTCCTCATTCCTTTTAAGGGGGATTGGTATAAAATACATTTTACTGATCCTTTTTCCTGTTAATTGACATCTGAGTTATTTATAGTTCTAAGCTACTCTAAAGAAAGCTTCTCGGAATACCCTTGCACATTTTTGGGACCTATAAACTAATTTCTGTTTGGTGTATAATCAAGAGTAACAATGAAAAATTGTAGCATCTCCACTCTGATTGTACACCCAACAGAAATAATCCATAAGTCCACACACACACACACACACACCCAAAAGGACACAAATGTTCCAAGCAACTCATTGATAATGTGTGTGTGTGTATGTGTGTGTATTTAGCATAAACAGATACTGCTAAGTAGTTTTTCAAAGTGTTCATAACACTAGTTTTGTCCGGGGGTTGGAAGTTGTTGGCCCCCAGCAGCTGGGGAAGAAGAATCAGTAACCTGGGTCATACTGGGCCATTGTAATCCAAAGGCATGTTTTCTGCAACCAGCAATGGCAAAATGGCTCATCTTCCAACAGATAATGAGTGAAAATGCTGAGCTTTTACCACCAGGGCCATTCTTAAGCTTCTCTTTTGAGAGTGCTGCTTTAGGGCGGGCAGCATGGAAGTTACTCAGGTCAAGAATCCCCTGCTACTTGCAAAATGGTTTTCATTTAAGTGGTGCCATTGATAGCCTTTAGGGACTGCAGGCCCATTGCTAGAGAGATACCCACTGGTCATGGTGTTTTAAAAAGTGCCTCCCCCAGGGGAGAAGGAGTATCCCAGAGTCCCACTCACATCTTCTGGCTGTTCAGGGCCAATTTAAAACCCTGGAGCAGTCATTCACTAAAGAGCCTGAGAGAGTAAATGTCCCTCTGTGTACACCCTGGGAGCCACTTAGTGTTCCAGACATCTGAGCTGTGGAGCTCAGGGACGGCAGGTGCAGGGGGAAGCTGCTGGAGGCTAACAGGAAAGTGAGTTGCTCTGGTTTCAGGAGATTAGATGCGAGGCTCAGTGTTGATAGGAACTGTTTGGGCATGGCCCAGCCTGTGTCGCGGAAACCTTCCACGTCTAGAATATCTGTGCCATGTACTTACAGTGCAGCCTTAGATCAAAGAGGTAATTGAAGCACTTTGTAAAGTGAAATTCTAAACAGAAGAAGCATGCATGAGATGCACAGTGGGCTCCTAGTGACTTCAGTGAGCCTTTGGAGGAATTAGTAACTAGTAACATATACCTGTGCGGATGCATTTTAACCAGCTGTCCTCTCTCGGTGGGCACCACCCCCCTGTGGAGTGGGGAAAGAGCTCTCCCAAACATTCTGAGAGCACCTTTGTGCAGTGTACAACTGCGCAACTGTATGCAGCGATCCCGGACAGACGGTGATTCCAATGAGCAAGACTGCACATTTATATTAACCTCCGTGGTCCTCTCTTCCCTCTCTACCCCCAGGCCTGTCCGCAGATGGTGGGGCCAAGCGCCAGGAGCACCTCTCCCGGTTTTCCATGCCTGACCTCAGCAAAGACTCTGGAATGAATGTCTCCGAGAAGCTGAGCAACATGGGCACACTTAACTCGTCCATGCAGTTCCGGAGCGCAGAGTCGGTTCGCAGCCTGCTCTCTGCCCAGCAGTACCAGGAGATGGAGGGAAATCTCCACCAGCTCGGCAACCCCATTGGGTACAGAGACCTGCAGTCCCATGGCAGGCTGCATCAGAGCTTTGATTTTGATGGGGGGATGGCCAGCAGCAAGCTGCCAGGGCAGGAGGGCATGAGGATCCAGCCCATGAGCGAACGCACTCGGAGGAGAAGTACCTCCCGCGACGACGGTCGCCGCTTCCGACCTCACCGCTCCAGGCGTTCCCGGCGCTCTCGCTCGGACAACGCCCTGCACCTGGCCAGCGAACGCGAGGCCATCTCTCGGTTAAAAGAAAGGCCCCCCCTCCGAGCCAGGGAGGACTACGACCAGTTCATGCGCCAGCGGAGCTTCCAGGAGAGCCTGGGCCAAGGGTCCCGAAGGGACCTGTACGGCCAGTGCCCGAGAACGGTGTCAGACCTGGCTCTGCAGAATGCCTTCGGGGAGCGCTGGGGACCCTACTTCGCCGAGTACGATTGGTGTTCTACCTGCTCCTCCTCTTCGGAGTCCGACAACGAGGGCTATTTCCTAGGAGAACCCATCCCCCAGCCCGCCCGCCTGCGATACGTCACGAGCGATGAGCTGTTGCACAAATACAGCTCCTATGGGCTCCCCAAGTCTTCCACGTTAGGGGGCAGGGGACAGTTGCACAGCAGGAAAAGACAAAAGAGCAAAAACTGCATCATTTCCTAATAGGCTCGGGGTCAGGGAATGGGGGAAGATGGGAGCTAAGAATGTACATTCAGAAACTTGCACTGTTTTCCATTGTAAAGCGCTTTCGGGGTGGTGGCTAGAGGAGAGGAGGGAAATGCTGGCCGTGGTGGAGGCAAGGTTATAGACTGACTCAATAGGTAGTCCCAGTTCTCGGCATGTTGAATATTATTTGCACATTTCACTTTGGAAACGCTATAGACTCTGGAGGCCAGGGTTGGTCCCCTCCTTCCCATCAGTCTGTGTTGAGTCGCCTTTCGCAAGATGGCAAACTGTTTCCCGCTCGCTTATATCCTCTCTGGTTCTCTTACTTTTAGGACCCTTTTTCCAGTAAGTAATTTGTTTATTAGCCAGGACCCAAGACTAAGTTATTTACATGTCCATTGTAAATGCAATGTAAATGAGAGTTCTGATAAAATATTTTTGTATTTTGTAATATCAAAGGAATTTCTATATCGTAGGACTCAGTGGAAATTTGCATGCACGCCCAGCGTTGTCTTTGAGTAGTACATTCAGAGGCGGTCCAGGACCGCCTTTTTTTTTTTTTTTTTTTTTTTCTATACAAATTTGTTACATGTCAGTGAGACCTTTTTCAAAGGAGTTTATTCAATTTGACGTTTTGTGGCTGAAAAAAAAATTAACCATTACACCCAAAGTATTTTATGCTCCATTCTACCTTAAGGAGACATCCTTAAGTCTGCTCCCGCCCTCGGTAGAATTTCTTCTCTACAAAGTGATAGTAATTTTTTTTTTTAATTGCAAACGTAACTTTTGCCAATTAGAGAAACCAACCAGTGTCCGTAAACTCCCGTGAGCAACGCCGTCCCTGCTGGGAACATTGAAGTTGCTTGCTGTTGATCTGTCCCTTGGGGAAAATGAAAGTGACTGTGAGTGGTACCCATCGTGTGATGTCAGCATGACGTTGTTTTGAATGTGGCATTATTTTCTGGTGCTCATGTTTCCTGGATTATATTATCTGCTTTCCTTTACCAAGGCAGACGGAACAGCTGCCTTAGCCTGACAACCGGTTGTCCTCAGTGCAAATGAACTTAAGCAGTAGACATGTAGAAAGTCCTGCAGGGCTCTGGGAAGGACGGGGTGTTCTAGATCGTACGTCATGCGTGGAGAAGGAACAAGGGAATTCGAAAGCAGAAAGCAGGTCAAGGGTAGAGACTGAAGGGGGATATGAAGGAAGGTCAGAGTAAAGAAGAGCTTCGGGAAATGAAGTAGAGTGGGAGGTGACCACTACCTTGAATAACCACCCCCCCACCCAGTGCTTGCAGAAAGAATCCAGTTTAACACGCCCCGTAACCAGAGTGTCTGGGTGACCCAGGAAAGGGAGCAGTTTGGGAGATTTCAGGGTGATGACCTTGAAGAGCAGATGCTGTTCAAAGGGAGATTTCCGTGTTGAACTTTGGGGACTGTTGGTCAGACAGAAATTGGGCTCAAAAGTGAGTTTGCTTGAAGAAGACATTTAACGGTTGTGTTGTTTATAGTAAAATAAAACTTCCTACCTTGCTTCAGTTCACAGTGAAGCCCTTGCTTTCTCTTCCATTCTCCTCCTCCCTTGAATGGATTGTAGCAGTTGAAATAATCCATCGGAGGACCCACCTTTAGTGAGATGTACTGTTGATGTAGTACACGGTGTAACTCAGTGGCCATCTGCCGTGGTGAGGTGAGCGTGGTCTCTTTTCAGTATAGTAGTTAATATTTTCTAGTATTTTTTTTATGGAGAGAATGTGAGAAGTGGCTTTTCAGACACCATCCCAAATGGGTCTGGGGAAAAGAAGGCTGTAAAGGACGTGGAAATGGCACTCCATTCAGGATGTATTAAAATAATTTGCTTTTCAGGTATTAATATGACATTTGTCATTGTCACTGATTTAAAAAAAAAAAAAGCAATGCAAATGTTGGTTGTGGCTGTTTTCCGCATGCTATCTTCATATCTAAATGCTTCATTACTTATCCAAGCCTCCGGAGAATTAACTCTATTACGTTTGTATAGTAAGTTTGTAAACTGCTTGGCAAAACTGATTAAGAAACAATGTGCAACACCATGCTACTGAAGTGGCAGGTTTCTGGTAGAAATCGGGCGAGTCCAATTTGGAGTTTGGAGTTCCTTGATTGATGAGAATGAAAAGGCATTTTGGAAAAAGAAAAGAGAGACAAAAGTAGATCGCTTAACATAGCAAACAGCTGAAAATCATGTCTGTCCTCTGTGGCCTGGAATCCAATGAAAGAAATTCTCCTGGTAAAAGCTGCTTTCTAAGTCCATCCTCTCCAGAAGTACCCCCTTACTTTCCCCCCATGAGGCTTGAGGCACCCTCCGCAGGAAGAAGAGGGTGGCCTGAAATCGACCCGTAGCCACATCCCATGAAGGGGGTGGGAGGACTAAGCGATTTCAGAGCTAGCTGCCCGGGGCGCGTCCGGCAGCTCAACTGGCCAGAGCTTGAAATATACTGAGATGGAAGCCTCAGGGTCACACTGTTTCTAACCAAGGTCACTTCCGTGTGTTCCATTCCGGCTTCTCCCCACCCCACACACAGCCAGGCGCCTTACAGACAATGCCCACGAGGCTGGTTAAATCATCACAAAGGTGATGGGACCTCCAAGTGAATGCCCCGGAGAGAGCAGGACGTCATGGTCGTAGGAATCCTACCTGTTCGTGCTGACTTACACCTAACGTCACAGAACTCTGTTCCTGAAAACTCAATGTGTTCTCTTTGGAGGCAAGAACTTGGGATCCTCAACTTATCCCTCTGTCATAACCATGAGCTCTTCCTCGTCAAGTTTTGCCTGTGAGTGGGGCTTACACTCACCTCTTCCTGGATCTCCTTGCATCTTCGATAGACCGTTACAGAAAAGTAATTTTTCCTAGTTCCCTCTCATCTCTAATACCTTGGGTTTGCTTTTTCTACCTCTCTTCATATTGGTCCTCTTGGCTTTTGGTGAAAACGACCACTTTGGTTTTCAGGTCATTTCTTATCGCTGCTCAACTCAGTGGCAACAGAACGGGCTCTTTTCCAGGAAGAAGTAGCCATTGACGGTTTCCTGAATGCCCCTGCCAATACATATGACCCTCGATACTGTGAACAGCTTTCTTAGCAGGCTGGTGGCATGGAGGGTGGCGTTTAGGTATCCTTCCTTCTGTCCTATAGTTCCGTGAAGGTGAATGAGGTGAGGGAAAGCAGTACCATGCTCCCAGGTCCTGCGCAGGTTCAAGGCGGGTAGAGTTGTTGGATTGGTTGTTGGTTGTTGGTTCTTTCTACATTCACCTTCTCATCACTAGTCCTTCCCTTCTGTCCTCAGCCAGCCCAGTGAACAAGCAGTTTTGTCTTTCCAGGAGGGGACCACAAGACAGCTCTTGCTCTTTCTCTCCCCATTCTGTAGGATGCTTTTGCACTGCAGCAAACTGTATTTCCTTCTCCTGCAGTGGTTTTCCACTTTTTGGGTCCCCCTCACCGTCACTGAGTTCAGGTGCGGCCAGCGATGAAACAGACATAGCACACGCTCTCCCATTCCTGCAGCGCGACTGGTAAAACCAGTGAATCCACCACACTCTCCCAGGGAGCGTGGATGCAGTCTTAGAAATCTTTGTGACTCTCCAAGCACCCAGGATCAGTGGGTTAGAACTGAGGTCATTTGATAACAAATCTCATTTGGGAACTGATTTTTATCTGTCTTTCCATCATTTGCCATTGGCCGCAAATGGCACACCAACCTTGTAGGAAGCATCATTCGTAAATGACTGTGAGAGCCCCCAATTCCTTTCTGGATGCTAAAAGTGGAGGCTGACTTCTTAAAGCAAAACAAAGACAAATCCCTTGGGCCTCCTTCTGCATTCCCATGTTCTTGGCCAATTATTACAAGCAGCCTTCTGTTCATCGTTTTGCAGAGGTCAGATAAGAGGCCATCTTATTCTTCATCTAATCCCACCTTCTAACCAGAAATAACACAAATATTTAAATTCCAAGGAGAAGTGCTCTTTGTGTGTTTCTGTCTAACAGAAACCAGATGCTAATGCCTAAGACAGAGGATCTATCTATGACCAGAGGAGAGTGGGAAATGAAACCAGTTATCTATTTTGTGCCAGAAGAGTTGCTGTTAGCAACTGTTTAGCACCTTCAGGGCTTTGAAATGGGCTCTACGGACAGCCTTCCAGCTGCAGGACTCAGCAAAACCTCCTGATTTTGAAGGCGGCTTCAGATTGCCGCCTTTTGAGGTACCTCTCTCAAAGCACAAGGGAAGTAGAAATGAAGCCAGCTTTGCCTCGCCTCCAGTGCTGGGTCCCTTGGGGCCATCAGCAGACACCGGGGCTTGTCTTGTCTGGCCACTTGGAAGCAGTTGTCAAGGTTAGGACCAAGAAAGGATTGGATTCCTTTTCCATTTTCTCATAACAGTAGCCCAGTCAACACAAGACTGCCATAAACCATGACTCACTGTTGGGAGCTATACTCTTTTATAAGCTTACTTCCTGCTGACAAAGCTAGCTTTCCCCAAGGGGAATTTAAAAAGGAGGGAGCAAAGTCACGTCATGTAGGAAAACATTTCTGGTGATTGAGATATGATGAATCTGAAGGATAGAAAAAAGAATTGTTCTATCCTGGCAGTTTTCAGAGACATCCCTTCACCCTACTGGGCATTTGGCCATCCGTGTTCAATAGATCACTGACCCACCTTTTTAAGATTTTTTGGAGAGAGTTACCCACTAGTAAGTTCTGTTCTCCAGCCTCTGGTTAATACTCCCGTGTTTCCCTAAAGCATTTCGGTTCTATGATGGACCCTGACTTAACATTCTAAGGTCTACAAGTCCTTCATTTTCCTTAGGAAATTAGGACTTTGACAGTTTTCCCTCTCCTAAACACATTCTTTCTTGCACAGGATTGCTTTGCCCATCTCGTGCTTTAACTCCAAGTGCATAAACAAAACCTCAGAGGGTCTGAGAAGGTGAGGCAGGCCAGACTCTGTGTTGTGTGTCGAAT